GGGCAAGGTGATGGAAAGCGGGAGAATGGGGCGGGGTGATGGAAAGCAGGAGAATGGGGAGGGGTGATGGAAAGCGGAAGAATGGGGAGGGGTGATGGAAAGCGGGAGAATGGGGCGGGGTGATGGAAAGCGTGAGAATGGGGCGGGGTGATGGAAATCGGGAGAATGGGGCGGGATGATGGAAAGCGGGAGAATGGGGCGGGGTGATGGAAAGCGGGATAATGGGGCGGGGTGATAGAAAGCGAGAGAATGGGGCGAGGTGATAAAAGGAGGGAGAATGGGGCGGGGTGTTGGAAGGAGGGAGAATGGGGCGGGGTGATGGAAAGCGGGAGAATGGGGCGGGGTCATGGAAGGAGGGAGAATGGGGCGGGGTGATGCAAGGAGGGAGAATGGGGCGGGGTGATGGAAAGAGGGAGAATGGGGCGGGGTGATGGAAAGCGGGAGAACGGGGCGGGGTGATGGAAAGCGGGAGAATAGGGCGGGGTGATGGAAAGCGGGAGAATGGGGCGGGGTGATGGAAAGCGGGAGAATGGGGCGGGGTGATGGAAGGAGGGAGAATGGGGCGGGGTGATGGAAGGAGGGAGAATGGGGCGGGGTGATGGAAGGCGGGAGAATGGGGCGGGGTGATGGAAAGCGGGAGAATGGGGCGGGGTGATGGAAAGCGGGAGAATGGGGAGGGGTGATGGAAAGCGGAAGAATGGGGCGGGGTGATGGAATGTGGGAGAATGGGGCGGGGTGATGGAAAGCGTGAGAATGGGGCGGGGTGATGGAAAGCGGGAGAATGGGGCGGGATGATGGAAAGCGGGAGAATGGGGCGGGGTGATGGAAAGCGGGAGAATGGGGCGGGGTGATGGAAAGCGGGAGAATGGGGCGGGGTGATGGAAAGCGGGAGAATGGGGCGGGGTGATGGAAGGAGGGAGAATGGGGCGGGGTGATGGAAGGAGGGAGAATGGGGCGGGGTGATGGAAGGAGGGAGAATGGGGCGGGGTGATGGAAAGCGGGAGAATGGGGCGGGGTGATGGAAAGCGGGAGAACGGGGCGGGGTGATGGAAAGCGGGAGAATGGGGCGGGGTGATGGAAAGCGGGAGATGGGGGCAGGGTGATGGAAAGCGGGAGAATGGGGCGGGGTGATGGAAGGAGGGAGAATGGGGCGGGGTGATGGAAGGAGGGAGAATGGGGCGGGGTGATGGAAGGCGGGAGAATGCGGCGGGGTGATGGAAAGTGGGAGAATGGGGAGGGGTGATGGAAAGCGGAAGAATGGGGCGGGGTGATGGAAAGCGGGAGAATGGGGCGGGGTGATGGAAAGCGTGAGAATGGGGCGTGGTGATGGAAAGCGGGAGAATGGGGCGGGATGATGGAAAGCGGGAGAATGGGGCGGGGTGATGGAAAGCGGGAGAATGGGGCGGGGTGATGGAAAGCGGGAGAATGGGGCGGGGTGATAGAAAGCGAGAGAATGGGGCGGGGTGATGGAAGGAGGGAGAATGGGGCGGGGTGATGGAAGGAGGGAGAAGGGGGCGGTGTGATGGAGAGCAGGAGAATGGGGCGGGGTCATGGAAGGAGGGAGAATGGGGCGGGGTGATGCAAGGAGGGAGAATGGGGCGGGGTGATGGAAAGCGGGAGAATGGGGCGGGGTGATGGAAAGCGGGAGAATGGGGCGGGGTGATGGAAAGCGGGAGATGGGGGCAGGGTGATGGAAAGCGGGAGAATGGGGTGGGGTGATGGAAGGAGGGAGAATGGGGCGGGGAAATGGAAGGAGGGAGAATGGGGCGGGGTGATGGAAGGCGGGAGAATGGGGCGGGGTGATGGAAAGCGGGAGAATGGGGCGGGGTGATGGAAAGCGGGAGAATGGGGAGGGGTGATGGAAAGCGGAAGAATGGGGCGGGGTGATGGAAAGCGGGAGAATGGGGCGGGGTGATGGAAAGCGTGAGAATGGGGCGGGGTGATGGAAAGCGGGAGAATGGGGCGGGATGATGGAAAGCGGGAGAATGGGGCGGGGTGATGGAAAGCGGGAGAATGGGGCGGGGTGATGGAAAGCGGGAGAATGGGGCGGGGTGATAGAAAGCGAGAGAATGGGGCGGGGTGATGGAAGGAGGGAGAATGGGGTGGGGTGATGGAAGGAGGGAGAATGGGGCGGTGTGATGGAGAGCAGGAGAATGGGGCGGGGTCATGGAAGGAGGGAGAATGGGGCGGGGTGATGCAAGGAGGGAGAATGGGGCGGGATGATGGAAAGCGGGAGAATGGGGCGGGGTGATGGAAAGCGGGAGAACGGGGCGGGGTGATGGAAAGCGGGAGAATGGGGCGGGGTGATGGAAAGCGGGAGATGGGGGCAGGGTGATGGAAAGCGGGAGAATGGGGCGGGGTGATGGAAGGAGGGAGAATGGGGCGGGGTGATGGAAGGCGGGAGAATGCGGCGGGGTGATGGAAAGTGGGAGAATGGGGAGGGGTGATGGAAAGCGGAAGAATGGGGCGGGGTGATGGAAAGCGGGAGAATGGGGCGGGGTGATGGAAAGCGTGAGAATGGGGCGGGGTGATGGAAAGCGGGAGAATGGGGCGGGATGATGGAAAGCGGGAGAATGGGGCGGGGTGATGGAAAGCGGGAGAATGGGGCGGGGTGATGGAAAGCGGGAGAATGGGGCGGGGTGATAGAAAGCGAGAGAATGGGGCGGGGTGATGGAAGGAGGGAGAATAGGGCGGGGTGATGGAAGGAGGGAGAAGGGGGCGGTGTGATGGAGAGCAGGAGAATGGGGCGGGGTCATGGAAGGAGGGAGAATGGGGCGGGGTGATGCAAGGAGGGAGAATGGGGCGGGGTGATGGAAAGCGGGAGAATGGGGCGGGGTGATGGAAAGCGGGAGAACGGGGCGGGGTGATGGAAAGCGGAAGAATGGGGCGGGGTGATGGAAAGCGGGAGATGGGGGCAGGGTGATGGAAAGCGGGAGAATGGGGCGGGGTGATGGAAGGAGGGAGAATGGGGCGGGGTGATGGAAGGCGGGAGAATGGGGCGGGGTGATGGAAGGCGGGAGAATGGGGCGGGGTGATGGAAAGCGGAAGAATGGGGCGGGGTGATGGAAAGCGGGAGAATGGGGAGGGGTGATGGAAAGCGGAAGAATGGGGCGGGGTGATGGAAAGCGGGAGAATGGGGCGGGGTGATGGAAAGCGTGAGAATGGGGCGGGGTGATGGAAAGCGGGAGAATGGGGCGGGATGATGGAAAGCGGGAGAATGGGGCGGGGTGATGGAAAGCGGGAGAATGGGGCGGGGTGATGGAAAGCGGGAGAATGGGGCGGGGTGATAGAAAGCGAGAGAATGGGGCGGGGTGATGGAAGGAGGGAGAATGGGGCGGGGTGATGGAAGGAGGGAGAATGGGGCGGTGTGATGGAGAGCAGGAGAATGGGGCGGGGTCATGGAAGGAGGGAGAATGGGGCGGGGTGATGCAAGGAGGGAGAATGGGGCGGGGTGATGGAAAGCGGGAGAATGGGGCGGGGTGATGGAAAGCGGGAGAACGGGGCGGGGTGATGGAAAGCGGGAGAATGGGGCGGGGTGATGGAAAGCGGGAGATGGGGGCAGGGTGATGGAAAGCGGGAGAATGGGGTGGGGTGATGGAAGGAGGGAGAATGGGGCGGGGTGATGGAAGGAGGGATTATGGTGCGGGGTGATGGAAGGCGGGAGAATGGGGCGGGGTGATGGAAAGCGGGAGAATGGGGCGGGGTGATGGAAAGCGGGAGAATGGGGCGGGGTGATGGAAAGCGGGAGAATGGGGAGGGGTGATGGAAAGCGGAAGAATGGGGCGGGGTGATGGAAAGCAGGAGAATGGGGCGGGGTGATGGAAAGCGGGAGAATGGGGCGGGGTGATGGAAAGCGGGAGAACCAAGCTTTGTCGGCAGACACAGCCGCCATAGCAGCCGCCGAACTTTTTGGTGCGCACGAACCAAGCTGGAATTGCTCTGGTAGGTGTATTTGAGCATGGGCCACCCGAATATGCAACAACATTCAGGTCATTCGATGCTTTTCCGTACGCCTATGAGGATTCGTGCACTTCGTTACCATTAGTCGGCAGACACAGCCGCCATCGCTGGCGCCGAACTTTTTGGTGCGCACGAACCAAGCTGGAATTGCTCTGGTAGGTGTATTTGAGCATGGGTCATTCGAATATGCAACAACATTCAGGTCGTTCGATGCTTTTCCCTACGCCTATGAGGATTCATGCACCTCGTTACCATTAGTCGGCAGACACAGCCGTCATCGCAAGCGCCGAACTTTTTTTGTGCGCACGAACCAAGCTGGAGTTGCTCTAGTAGGTGTATTTGAGCATGGGCCACCTGAATATGCAACAACATTCAGGTCGTTCGATGCTTTTCCCTACGCCTATGAGGATTCATGCACTTCGTTACCATTTGTCGGCAGACACAGCCGTCATAGCAGCCGCCGAACTTTTTGGTGCGCACGAACCAAGCTGAAATTGCTCTGGTAGGTGTATTTGAGCATGGGCCACCCGAATATGCAACAACATTCAGGTCATTCGATGCTTTTCCGTACGCCTATGAGGATTCGTGCACTTCGTTACCATTAGTCGGCAGACACAGCCGCCATCGCTGGCGCCGAACATTTTGGTGCGCACGAACAAGCTGGAATTGCTCTGGTAGGTGTATTTGAGCATGGGCCATTCGAATATGCAACAACATTCAGGTCGTTCGATGCTTTTCCCTACGCCTATGAGGATTCCTGCACTTCGTTACCATTTGTCGGCAGACACAGCCGTCATCGCAGCCGCTGAACTTTTTGGTGCGCACGAACCAAGCTGGAATTACTCTGGTAAGTGTATTTGAGCATGGGCCACCTGAATATGCAACAACATTCAGGTCGTTCGATGCTTTTCCCTACGCCTATGAGGATTCATGCACTTCGTTACCATTAGTAGGCAGACACAGCCGCCATCGCTGGCGCCGAACTTTTTGGTGCGCACGAACCAAGCTGGAATTGCTCTGGTAGGTGTATTTGAGCATGGGCCACCCGAATATGCAACAACATTCAGGTCGTTCGATGCTTTTCCCTACGCCTATGAGGATTCATGCACTTTGTTACCATTTGTTGGCAGACACAGCCGTCATCGCAGCCGCCGAAAGCATGCTTGCGGCCGAAAGAATGCTTGCGCCCGGACGCATGCTCGCGTCCGAAAGCATGCTTGCGCCCGGATGCATGCTTTCGTCTGGAAGCATGCTTGCGCCCGAAAGCATGCTTGCGTCTGGAAGCATGCTTGCGCCCGGACGCATGCTTGCGTCCGGAAGCATGCTTGCGTCCGAAAGCATGCTTGCGCCCGAAAGCATGCTTGCGTCCAGAAGCATGCTTGCGCCCGGAAGCATGCTTGCGCCCGAAAGAATGCTTGCGTCCGGAAGCATGCTTGCGTCCGGAAGCATTCTTGCGTCCAAACGCATGCTTGCGTCCGGAAGCATGCTTGCGTCCGAAAGCATGTTTGCGTCCGAAAGCATGCTTGCATCCGAAAGCATGCTTGCGCCTGGACGCATGCTTGCGTCCGAAAGCATGCTTGCGCCCGGACGCATGCTTGCGTCCGAAAGCATGCTTGCGGCCGAAAGCAAGCATGCTTGCGCCCGCAAGCATGCTTGCGTCCGAAAGCATGCATGCTTGCACCCGCAAGCATGCTTGCGCCCGAAAGCATGCTTGCGGCCGAAAGCATGCTTGCGTCCGAAAGCATGCTTGCGCCCGAAAGCATGCTTGCGGCCGAAAGCATGCTTGCGGCCGAAAGAATGCTTGCGCCCGGACGCATGCTTGCGTCCGAAAGCATGCTTGCGCCCGGATGCAAGCTTGCGTCCGGAAGCATGCTTGCGTCTGGAAGCATGCTTTCGTCCGGAACCATGCTTGCGTCCGAAAGCATGCTTGCGTCCGGAAGCATGCTTGCGTCCGAAAGCATGCTTGCGTCCGGAAGCATGCTAGCGCCCGGACGCATGCTTGCGTCCGGAAGCATGCTTGCGCCCGAAAGCATGCTTGCGTCCGGAAGCATGCTTGCGTCCGGACGCATGCTTGCGTCCGAAAGCATGATTGCGCCCTGAAGCATGCTTGCGTCCGAAAGCATGCTTGCGCCCGGAAGCATGCTTGCGTCCGAAAGCATGCTTGCGCCCGAAAGCATGCTTGCGTCCGGAAGCATGCTTGCGCCCGAAAGCATGCTTGCGTCCGAAAGCATGCTTGCGTTCGGAAGCATGCTTGCCCCCGAAAGCATGCTTGCGTCCGAAAACATGCTTGCGTCCGGAAGCATGCTTGCGTCCGAAAGCGTGCTTGCCTCCGAAGGCATGTTTGCGTCCGAAAGCAAGAATGCTTGCGCCCGCAAGCATGCTTGCGCCCGAAAGCATGCTTGCGGCCGAAAGAATGCTTGCGCCTGGACGCATGCTTGCGTCCAAAAGCATGCTTGCGCCCGGATGCATGCTTGCGTCCGGAAGCATGCTTGCGTCCGGAAGCATGCTTGCGCCCGGAAGCATGATTGCGTCCGAAAGCATGCTTGCGTCCGGAAGCATGCTTGCGTCCGAAAGCATGCTTGCGTCAAAACGCATGCTTGCGCCCGAAAGCATGCTTGCGTCCGAAAGCATGCTTGCGCCCGAAAGCATGCTTGCGTCCGGAAGCATGCTTGCGTCCGAAAGAATGCTTGCGTCCGGAAGCATGCATGCTTGCGCCCGCAAGCATGCTTGCGGCCGAAAGCAAGCATGCTTGCGCCCGCAAGCATGCTTGCGTCCGAAAGCATGCATGCTTGCACCCGCAAGCATGCTTGCGCCCGAAAGCATGCTTGCGGCCGAAAGCATGCTTGCGTCCGAAAGCATGCTTGCGCCCGAAAGCATGCTTGCGGCCGAAAGCATGCTTGCGGCCGAAAGAATGCTTGCGCCCGGACGCATGCTTGCGTCCGAAAGCATGCTTGCGCCCGGATGCAAGCTTGCGTCCGGAAGCATGCTTGCGTCTGGAAGCATGCTTTCGTCCGGAACCATGCTTGCGTCCGAAAGCATGCTTGCGTCCGGAAGCATGCTTGCGTCCGAAAGCATGCTTGCGTCCGGAAGCATGCTAGCGCCCGGACGCATGCTTGCGTCCGGAAGCATGCTTGCGCCCGAAAGCATGCTTGCGTCCGGAAGCATGCTTGCGTCCGGACGCATGCTTGCGTCCGAAAGCATGATTGCGCCCTGAAGCATGCTTGCGTCCGAAAGCATGCTTGCGCCCGGAAGCATGCTTGCGTCCGAAAGCATGCTTGCGCCCGAAAGCATGCTTGCGTCCGGAAGCATGCTTGCGCCCGAAAGCATGCTTGCGTCCGAAAGCATGCTTGCGTTCGGAAGCATGCTTGCCCCCGAAAGCATGCTTGCGTCCGAAAACATGCTTGCGTCCGGAAGCATGCTTGCGTCCGAAAGCGTGCTTGCCTCCGAAGGCATGTTTGCGTCCGAAAGCAAGAATGCTTGCGCCCGCAAGCATGCTTGCGCCCGAAAGCATGCTTGCGGCCGAAAGAATGCTTGCGCCTGGACGCATGCTTGCGTCCAAAAGCATGCTTGCGCCCGGATGCATGCTTGCGTCCGTAAGCATGCTTGCGTCCGGAAGCATGCTTGCGCCCGGAAGCATGATTGCGTCCGAAAGCATGCTTGCGTCCGGAAGCATGCTTGCGTCCGAAAGCATGCTTGCGTCAAAACGCATGCTTGCGCCCGAAAGCATGCTTGCGTCCGAAAGCATGCTTGCGCCCGAAAGCATGCTTGCGTCCGGAAGCATGCTTGCGTCCGAAAGAATGCTTGCGTCCGGAAGCATGCTTGCGTCCGAAAGCATGCTTGCGTCCGAAAGCATGCTTGCGCCTGGACGCATGCTTGCGTCCGAAAGCATGCTTGCGCCCGGACGCATGCTTGCGTCCGAAAGCATTCTTGCGTCCGAAAGCAAGCATGCTTGCGCCCGCAAGCATGCTTGCGTCCGAAAGCATGCTTGCGTCCGAAAGCATGCTTGCGTCCGAAAGCATGCTTGCGTCCGAAAGCATGCTTGCGTCCGGAAGCATGCTTGCGCCCGAAAGCATGCTTGCGCCCGAAAGCATGCTTGCGTCCGGAAGCATGCTTGCGCCCGGAAGCATGCTTGCGCCCGAAAGCATGCTTGCGTCCGGAAGCATGCTTGCGTCCGGAAGCATGCTTGCGCCCGAAAGCATGCTTGCGTCCGGAAGCATGCTTGCGCCCGGACGCATGCTTGCGTCCGAAAGCATGCTTGCGCCCGTAAGCATGCTTGCGTCCGAAAGCATGCTTGCGCCCGGAAGCATGCTTGCGTTCGAAAGCATGCTTGCGTCCGGAAGCATGCTTGCGTCTGAACGCATGCTTGCGTCCGAAAGCATGCTTGCGTCCGAAAGCATGCTTGCGTCCGGAAGCATGCTTGCGCCCGAAAGCATGCTTGCGCCCGAAAGCATGCTTGCGTCCGGAAGCATGCTTGCGCCCGGAAGCATGCTTGCGCCCGAAAGCATGCTTGCGTCCGGAAGCATGCTTGCGTCCGGAAGCATGCTTGCGCCCGAAAGCATGCTTGCGTCCGGAAGCATGCTTGCGCCCGGACGCATGCTTGCGTCCGAAAGCATGCTTGCGCCCGTAAGCATGCTTGCGTCCGAAAGCATGCTTGCGCCCGGAAGCATGCTTGCGTTCGAAAGCATGCTTGCGTCCGGAAGCATGCTTGCGTCCGAACGCATGCTTGCGTCCGAACGCATGCTTGCGTCCGGAAGCATGCTTGCGTCCGAAAGCATGCTTGCGTCTGGACGCATGCTTGCGCCTGGACGCATGCTTGCGTCCGAAAGCATGCTTGCGCCCGGACGCATGCTTGCGTCCGAAAGCATGCTTGCGTCTGAAATCATGCTTGCGTCCGAAAGCATGCTTGCGTCCGGAAGCATGCTTGCGTCCGAAAGCATGCTTGCGTCAAAACGCATGCTTGCGCCCGAAAGCATGCTTGCGTCCGAAAGCATGCTTGCGCCCGAAAGCATGCTTGCGTCCGGAAGCATGCTTGCGTCCGAAAGAATGCTTGCGTCCGGAAGCATGCTTGCGTCCGAAAGCATGCTTGCGTCCGAAAGCATGCTTGCGCCTGGACGCATGCTTGCGTCCGAAAGCATGCTTGCGCCCGGACGCATGCTTGCGTCCGAAAGCATTCTTGCGTCCGAAAGCAAGCATGCTTGCGCCCGCAAGCATGCTTGCGTCCGAAAGCATGCTTGCGTCCGAAAGCATGCTTGCGTCCGAAAGCATGCTTGCGTCCGAAAGCATGCTTGCGTCCGGAAGCATGCTTGCGCCCGAAAGCATGCTTGCGCCCGAAAGCATGCTTGCGTCCGGAAGCATGCTTGCGCCCGGAAGCATGCTTGCGCCCGAAAGCATGCTTGCGTCCGGAAGCATGCTTGCGTCCGGAAGCATGCTTGCGCCCGAAAGCATGCTTGCGTCCGGAAGCATGCTTGCGCCCGGACGCATGCTTGCGTCCGAAAGCATGCTTGCGCCCGTAAGCATGCTTGCGTCCGAAAGCATGCTTGCGCCCGGAAGCATGCTTGCGTTCGAAAGCATGCTTGCGTCCGGAAGCATGCTTGCGTCCGAACGCATGCTTGCGTCCGAAAGCATGCTTGCGTCCGAAAGCATGCTTGCGTCCGGAAGCATGCTTGCGCCCGAAAGCATGCTTGCGCCCGAAAGCATGCTTGCGTCCGGAAGCATGCTTGCGCCCGGAAGCATGCTTGCGCCCGAAAGCATGCTTGCGTCCGGAAGCATGCTTGCGTCCGGAAGCATGCTTGCGCCCGAAAGCATGCTTGCGTCCGGAAGCATGCTTGCGCCCGGACGCATGCTTGCGTCCGAAAGCATGCTTGCGCCCGTAAGCATGCTTGCGTCCGAAAGCATGCTTGCGCCCGGAAGCATGCTTGCGTTCGAAAGCATGCTTGCGTCCGGAAGCATGCTTGCGTCCGAACGCATGCTTGCGTCCGAACGCATGCTTGCGTCCGGAAGCATGCTTGCATCCGAGAGCATGCTTGCGCCTGGACGCATGCTTGCGCCTGGACGCATGCTTGCGTCCGAAAGCATGCTTGCGCCCGGACGCATGCTTGCGTCCGAAAGCATGCTTGCGTCCGAAAGCAAGCATGCTTGCGCCCGCAAGCATGCTTGCGTCTGAAATCATGCTTGCGTCCGAAAGCATGCTTGCGCCCGAAAGCATGCTTGCGGCCGAAAGCATGCTTGCGTCCGAAAGCATGCTTGCGTCCGAAAGCATGCTTGCGGCCGAAAGAATGCTTGCGCCCGGACGCATGCTTGCGTCCGAAAGCATGCTTGCGCCCGGATGCATGCTTGCGTCCGGAAGCATGCTTGCGTCCGGAAGCATGCTTGCGTCCGGAAGCATGCTTGCGTCCGAAAGCATGCTTGCGTTCGTAAGCATGCTTGCGTCCGAAAGCATGCTTGCGTCCGGAAGCATGCTAGCGCCCGGACGCATGCTTGCGTCCGGAAGCATGCTTGCGCCCGAAAGCAAGCATGCTTGCGCCCGCCAGCATGTGTGAAAATAGTAGGAAGAAGAGGAGGGTTGCACTAGCAAGAATGAGGATACAAATAGCAAACCCTAGAAGGGTTGTACTCGCTATAGAGCACCCCACTACAGGCTAGAGCATAATATTCTGACACACCCCCATAGCCAAAGTGGGGTGTAATCAGCAGAGCAAGCAAAGCAGTACAAGCTCAGGGTGGATCACAATGTCACCACACATTCTGAGCACAAGTTCAAGAAGCAATAGTTTAAAGTTCACAATTATGAGCAAAGCTAGTGGTAGTCACAACGGGCAAGTGAGGAGGAGGAAAGAGACTATGAGAGGAGAGGAGGTAGTGGGCGGCAGCTGAAGCTGCTGGCACACGGCGCAACTGGAGCAACTGGCACACGGGCAACTGGAGCAACTGGCATACTGGCAACTGGAGCAACTGGCACACGGGCTACTGGAGTAACTGGCTCCGCGGCTAAAAGTAGCGGCAGACGAGCAACGGACTCACGGGCGACTGGAGCAACGGGCTCACGGGCGACTGGCGCAACGGGCTCACGGGCGACTGGCGCAACGGTCTCACGGGCGACTGGAGCTGCTGGCTTCACGGCGGCCACCCCCTTCAACCTCCCCAAACTATCCCACTCCCCCTGACACACACCCGCTGCTACACCGCTAGCTCCACTCCCCCTTCACCCCCCCTTAGTACCACTCCAACGGCTCCAACAAGTCCACCCCCCCTCAGCGGCAGCTGCAGCACAGGGAGACGGAGGAGGAGGAGGAGCAGGGAACGGCACACAGTGGCTTCACCCCCATACCCCTCACCCCCAAACCCTAATTCAGGAGAACGGGCTGTAGGAGGGGTGGGGCGCCAATAGAAGCACGGGGGACAGCGGGGAGTGCAGGGGCAGCAAGGAAAGGGCCGCCCACGGGCCTGGCACAGCCGCCCGAACCGCGCGCAGGCGGCCCGAGCCGCGCGCGGGCCTGGCGCAACCCGTACGGGCCGCGCGCGGGCCTGGCGCAGCCCGTACGGGCCGCGCGCTGGCCTGGCGCAGCCCGTACGGGCCGCGTCCGGGCCTGGCGCAGCCCTTACGGGCCGCGCGCAGCCTGTACGGGCCGCGCGCAGGCCACGACGGGCGACGGGGGGCGACGCGCGGGTCCCCGTCGCCCGTCGCAGCGCCTCCCGAGGGCGACGCGCCGAGTGACGGGGCAGAAGCCCGCCGCGCGCCTCGGGGCGCACAGCGGGCAGAGAACCGCCGCGCGCCACGGGGCGCACGGCGGGCAGAAAACCGCCGCGCGCCTCAGGGCGCACGGCGGGAAGAAAAACTGCCGCACGCCACGGGGCGTGCGGCACAGAGGGTAGCAGTGGAAGTTGCAGCGGAAGCAACGAGGTGGTGAGCCCACCCACAGGATCGATCCAAGGGGATCGACCTGCTCTGATAGCATGTGAAAATAGTAGGAAGAAGAGGAGGGTTGCACTAGCAAGAATGAGGATACAAATAGCAAACCCTAGAAGGGTTGTACTCGCTAAAGAGCACCCCACTACAGGCTAGAGCATAATATTCTGACAGCATGCTTGCGTCCGAAAGCATGCTTGCGTCCGAAAGCATGCTTGCGCCCGAAAGCATGCTTGCGGCCGAAAGCATGCTTGCGTCCGAAAGCATGCTTGCGGCCGAAAGAATGCTTGCGCCCGGACGCATGCTTGCGTCCGAAAGCATGCTTGCGCCCGGATGCATGCTTGCGTCTGAAAGCATGCTTGCGTCCGGAAGCATGCTTGCGTCCGAAAGCATGCTTGCGTCCGCAAACATGCTTGCGTCTGAAAGCATGCTTGCGTCCGGAAGCATGCTAGCGCCCGGACGCATGCTTGCGTCTGAAAGCATGCTTGCGCCCGTAAGCATGCTTGCGTCCGAAAGCATGCTTGCGCCCGGAAGCATGCTTGCGTTCGAAAGCATGCATGCGTCCGGAAGCATGCTTGCGTCCGAACGCATGCTTGCGTCCGAACGCATGCTTGCGTCCGGAAGCATGCTTGCGTCCGAAAGCATGCTTGCGTCTGAAAGCATGCTTGCATCCGAAAGCATGCTTGCGCCTAGACGCATGCTTGCGCCTGGACGCATGCTTGCGTCCGAAAGCATGCTTGCGCCCGGACGCATGCTTGCGTCCGAAAGCATGCTTGCGTCCGAAAGCAAGCATGCTTGCGCCCGCAAGCATGCTTGCGTCTGAAAGCATGCTTGCGTCCGAAAGCATGCTTGCGCCCGAAAGCATGCTTGCGGCCGAAAGCATGCTTGCGTGCGAAAGCATGCTTGCGGCCGAAAGAATGCTTGCGCCCGGACGCATGCTTGCATCCGAAAGCATGCTTGCGCCCGGATGCATGCTTGCGTCCGGAAGCATGCTTGCGTCCGAAAGCATGCTTGTGTCCGGAAGCATGCTTGCGTCCGAAAGCATGCTTGCGTCCGGAAGCATGCTTGCGTCCGAAAGCATGCTTTCGTCCGGAAGCATGCTAGCGCCCGGACGCATGCTTGCGTCGGAAGCATGCTTGCGCCAGAAAGCAAGCATGTTTGCGCCCGCAAGCATGCTTGCGTCCGAAAGCATGCTTGCGCCCGAAAGCATGCTTGCGGCCGAAAGCATGCTTGCGTCCGAAAGCATGCTTGCGGCCGAAAGAATGCTTGCGCCCGGACGCATGCTTGCGTCCGAAAGCATGCTTGCGTCCGGAAGCATGCTTGCGTCCGGAAGCATGCTTGCGTCCGGAAGCATGCTTGCGTCCGGAAGCATGCTTGCGTCCGGAAGCATGCTTACGCCCGAAAGCATGCTTGCGTCCGGAAGCATGCTAGCGCCCGGACGCATGCTTGCGTCCGGAAGCATGCTTGCGCCCGAAAGCATGCTTGCGTCCGGAAGCATGCTTGCGCCCGGAAGCATGCTTGCGTCCGGAAGCATGCGTGCGCCCGGAAGCATGCTTGCGTCCGAAAGCATGCTTGCGTCCGGAAAGCATGCTTGCGTCCGGAAGCATGCGTGCGTCCGGAAGCATGCTTGCGTCCGGAAGCATGCATGCTTGCGGCTGGAAGCATGCTTGCGTCCGAAAGCATGCTTGCGTCCGGAAGCATGCTTGCGTCCGAAAGCATGCTTGCGTCCGGAAGCATGCTTGCGTCCGAAAGCATGCTTGCGTCCGGAAGCATGCTTGCGTCCGAAAGCGTGCTTGCGTCCGAAAGCATGCTTGCATGCTTGCGTCCGGAAGCATGCTTGCGTCCGAAAGCATGCTTGCGTCCGAAAGCATGCTTGCGCCCGAAAGCATGCTTGCGTCCGGAAGCATGCTTGCGGCCGGACGCATGCTTGCGTCCGGAAGCATGCTTGCGCCCGGACGCATGCTTGCGTCCGAAAGCATGCTTGCGTCCGGAAGCATGCTTGCGTCCGAAAGCATGCTTGCGTCCGAAAGCATGCCCCACCTCCCCCCCTCTATCCGTCCCACGTGCCGCCCTTCGCCTTCCCTCTCCCCCATTGTCCAACCCCTTCTGGGCCTCGCTATAATGGCAGCAGCTGCAGTGCGCACAGGGGGCGACGTGCCATTGCGTTTGTGCAACCAGGGCAGGTCCACCCGCCACTTCTCTCCACCCTGCATCACCCCACTCCTTTCCGTTACCCCTCCTCCCCCTTCCTGGCTACCCAATCCGCCCCTAACCCCCTCCAGGCGGGTAGCAGCAAGCACAAGGTGCAGGATGCCATGGCGTTTGTGAAACAGGGGCTGACCCCCCTGGCTGACCCGCAGGCGCTGCTGCTGCGAAAGCCTGCAGGCTCTGCAGAGAAAGGAAGTGGCAGAGAGGCGGAACTGAGAGGGGAGGCGGCGAGACGGGGCAAACTCTGGGTGCAGCGTTGCGCGGAGATAGAAGCACAGCAGGCAGGGCTGCCAGTGGTGGCGAGGGCAAGCAAGCACAGCAGCTGCCAGTGGTGGCGAGGGAGGGCGCAGGGATGGAGGCCGCGGGGAGCAGCAGTGCTATGTGCGGCGAGACGGGGTCGGGGAAACTATCAGTATCAAAGAAGTTCTGCAGGTGAATGCGGTGTGGGGGGAAGGGCGGGTGCGTGCGGTGTGGTGGAAAGGGCAGGCGACTGCGGTGGGGTGGGAGAGGTACATGGAGGCCAGCCCTGCCAGCCTTGCGTGCGGTGAGACGGGGTTGGGCAAGACCATGCAAGTGCCACTGAGACACTTGACATGGTGGTACCGTATCATCATGTCATGAGATTCTAAACATGCAGATTAACATGCTTTGAAATATTCTTTATGCAATTCATCATGCTGTTTCGTCCATGCATCCATCAAGCATCATGTGCTGCAGCTCACAGCAATTGTTTCACATTATATATATGAGCAGTAGTTAGCGTATGCTTTTATGTCATTCTCATTCAATTTAGCATGACTGAATATGACATCCAACGCGTTCGCCCCTTCCCTCCTTCCCTTCCCTCCGTCCCCTCCCCTTCTTCCCCCCCCCCCCCCCCTTTTTCCCCCCAATTCAGGTGCTTGGGACTATTTCAGCACTCACGGGCCTCGAGCTTTGGGAGCTTGACAAAATGGCTCGCTTAACTGAAGAGACCGGGCTTGAGAAGGGTTGGGTTGTCATGATACAACTACCCTGTTGGTCAAATACTGCTGGTAGTGGTAGGGCACCTGAATCTGTTTCCCGTGCATGATCTCTCGCTTGCTGTCATTCTCGGACCATCTCAAGCCCCGGCCACATGCGATGGATGCAATAGGCATGCCGCGTTCCGTTGATTGATAAATTCCAACAGTCGTGGCTGGCAGCTGCCCTGCCGCTTCTGACTCTGCAATCTTGGCACCAGATGTTAATTGCAATGATGTCAACCAAATGCTCTGTGATATGGTACCTGCGCCGATCAGGTCATGTGCACACAACACAGGTGGCTGGCAAGCAATGCGCTAGCTATTGCCATTAGCTTTGAGGGATTAGCTGGACATGTGTATTCTTTCTTACGGTAGCTACAACTGTACGCGCTGCAAAGTCATACTTGGAGTTTGATAGTCAGCTCAGCCAACTCGTACGGTTACCGGTACAGTAGCCTGAACTTGTTGCAGTAACGCACCTCTCTTTGAATCCGGTACATTTTGATCATCTAAGAATGCTTCCAGCATTCCAGTCCAAGGTTCTCACACTTGCTACAAACAAATTCTAACTTGGACAATACGGTATATTCAGCTAAACACTGCCTGTTCTCCATCAAGCAAAACCAAGTGGTGCGTGTCCCTATGGCCCTCTTGCCACCCCTATTGGGCCGTTATTATGGCCTGCTGCCAGTAGCACCCTTCGCAGTGTGAGGCTGAGATGGTATGCACAGCACAGGTGTGAAGCGGTTGAAAGGAGGTGTAACGCGGTTGAGGGGACGTGGGGCATCGAGCGAGACCAGCCAGTTTCGGTGCTCCCTTGTCACCACGGCCCTGACCTGGACCGTTGAAGTGCCCCGCTGCCAGCACCACCCTTCACAGTGTGAGGCTGAGATGGTGCGCGTAGGTGTGAAGCGGTTGAAAGGAGGTGTGAGGCGGTTGAGTGGGGGGTGTGATGCGGTTGAGTGGGGGTGTAACGCAGTTGAGTGGGGGTGTGATGCGGTTGAGAGGGTTTGTGGCGCATCGAGAGAGACCAGCCAGTTCGGGTGGTTCCCTCGTCACCACGCCCCGACCCGAACCGTTGCAGTGCCTTGATGTCGGCACCTCCCTTCACAGTGTGAGGCTGAGACAGTGTGTCCAGGTTTAAAGCGGTTAAGGGGGGGTGTTATGTGGTTGTGAGGGGGTGTCGCGCATCCAGCGAGACCAGGCAGCAAGGGTGGTCACCATGGCCCAGACCTGGACCGTTGCAGTGCCTTGCTGCCAGCACCACCCTTCCCACCCGCTGCTGCTGCTGCTGCACCCGGCAAAGGAGTGTGAGGGTGAGATGTTGTGTGCAGGTGTGAAGCGGTTGAGAGGGGGTTTGCCGGGAGATTGGACGGTCCGGCTGCTGCTGGTGGTAGGAGACTGAGTGGCGTGCCTGCTGCCGCCGCTGCTGCCGCCGCTGCTGCCGCCGCTGCTGCTGCTGCTGCCGTTGCTGGCACTGCTATTTGTGCTGCTGCAGATAGAGAAGTAGGCATGGCTGCTGGCTGCAGCGTTTGGGGAAATTGAGGGGAGCAAGACAGGTCCGGAGGGGATAGAGGCGAGAAAACAAAAAAGATGGAGACAAGAAAAGAAGTATTATCGATGGTGGACGGGGATACGAATCAAATCAGATCGAACGTGATGATGGGAATGAGAACTTGCCAGAAGCTGCGCTGCTGAGTGACAGCGACAGTAATGTCAACGTGATCGCACTCGCTCCAGCTGAGAAGGGGCGCGCACGCCGTGCTTCGTTCACTCAATGCGCAACGCGCACTCACCATGCTGGGGTGCGCATGGGTGTGGGACTGCAGCTGCAGCAGCTGGGAGCGCAGCTGTTCGTTTTCTTCCTTCAACTGTGCCACCTCCGCCTCTAACTCTACTGTGTACGCCTGGAGGGAGGGTAGGGGGAGGGCATGGGAAGAGGATCATGTGGTTACGCTCCTGGGCACCCTTCAGGCTCCACTGTGTACGCCTGAGGGGGTGGGGAGAGGAGAGGGGAAGGGCTGGGCGCGCAGCTGCTCGTTCTTTTCCTTCAGCTGCGCCACCTCCGCCTCCAGCTCCACTGTGTACGCCTGAAAGAGGAGGGGGGTGGGGGGGGCGAGGGGGTGGGGGAGAGCACCAGGGGGGGGATGGGGTGCGCGTGTACGCCTGGTGGGGTGGGGGCGCGCAGCTGTTCGTTCTCCTCCTTCAGCTGCGCCACCTCCGCCTCCAGCTCCACTGTGTACGCCTGAAGGGGGGGAAGGGGGGATGTCATGTGGTGCCAGAGGAAGGGGCTGATGGGGAGGGGGAGGGCGCCAACTCTACGGTGTACGCGTGAAGGGGGGGATGGGGAGGGCATGGGAAGAGGATCATGCGGTTAGGCTTCAGGGCACCTTCGCATTCAGGCTCCACTGTGTATGCCTGAGGAAGAAGGGGGGGAGAGGGGGAGGGCTGAGCGCGCAGGTGTTCATTCTCCTACTTCAGAGGGGAGCACCAGAGGGGTGGGGCGGAGCACACGAAGCGGTGCAGCATGGTGTGAGGAGAGAGAGCAAGTGCCATGTGCACGCAAACAGCCATACGGAGACCCTGTGCCGTCCACCCTGTGCCGCCCAGCATTCTCCCTCCTCTCGAAGAATCAAGGGTCTTGACTCTTGACTCAGTGTGGCACGCACAGCAGCAAAGCAAGAGGTCTGGAAAACTCTTCTTCACCTCACCTCAACCTATCCCACCTCACCCCACCACATCGCACCCCACCTGCTTCCTCGCAGGGGACCGAGCGGCCGACTCCCTATTCTTGATCCTCTTCTGCCTCCTCTCCACCGGCGCCCCTCCCCCCTCCCCACTGCACTTCCTCCCCCTCCGCCCCTGCTCAGAGTGTGTCCCCATCCCCACTCCTCCCGCCCGTATCTGACTGCCCTTCTCCCCCTCCGCCGTCACAGTCCCCCCACCTCTCTCCCCCGCCCCCCCAACCCCATCCGCCGCCACCATGCCCGCCCCAGTAAACTCTCCCCAGCCCCCCTGCGCCCACACCTGTGCCCACACCTGCGCCCACACCTGCGCCCACACCTGCACCCACACCTGCGCCCACACCTGCGCCCACACCTGCGCTCATACCTGCGCCCACACCATACGTAGTGGGCACCTTCCCCCCACCCATCCCCACGCCTCCCCCCACACCTCCGCCCATGCCCCTTCCCCATGGCAATCCCACCAGGAGGGGCGGGTCCCAGCGACCCTATCGCTCCCAGTGACCCCAGTGAACCCCCTCCCAGCGCCCCCATCGCTCCCATTGCTCCTCCCAGCCCTCCCAGCGACCCCAGTGAACCCCCTCCCTACGCTCCCTGCGCTCCCAGCGACCCGAGTGATCGCCGCACTGGACTTCTGCCGCCGTAGCGAGCGCGCGCGCAGCAGCCCCGCAGCCTTGTCGCGCGCGCGCGGATCCGCGCTGCCCGCAGCGTGCGTGGCGGCGAGCATCTGCGACTCCTCGGCGAGCCAGACGGATCGCAGGAAGTCGTCCATGGGCATGGGTGCGACGGCGTGCGACGGGCCTGCGAACGTCGCCTGGAAGTCGTCGAGCGTGAGCGATTAGATTGACGCCTGTCGCGACAGCAGCTCTGGGAACGCCATGGCGCACGGCGCACGGGCGGAGAGGGGGAGGCGGAAAGGCGTAGAGGCGGACAGGCGGAGAGCAGAAGTGGCGGAGGCGGGAACGCGGAATGGCGCGGATAAATGGCAGGATAAATGGTGGCGGATAAATTTGCGGTACTGTGGGCGCAAGCGCCTTGTATTTGAAACGTTGCGGCGCTCTTTCTCGTCTAATTGCGGTGTATTATTAAGCTGCTAACGAAACTGTCAGTAGGGTGGTTTGAAATCTCACGGATCCCGGCGCCTAATCCAGCCCGTTCCTATCGGTTCATCCCATTCCCCTCCTCCCCTCTCCCATCTTCGCGTCGCATGGTCGCATCATCGCGAGGGTGAATGACGCGGGGTGATGGCAGGGACGAGGCACGGGCACAAGCACCACACGGCACGGCCTCAAGGAGGAAGAAAATGCGAATTTTAGAAGGAGCGAATCAAAGGAGGTGCGGTATACGGAACTCCGAAGCGGACAACGAAAAAAAAAACGGGTCCAGACGGGAGAGGAATGAGCGAGAGAAGAGGCGACTCGGGATTTCAGGAGGGGGCAGCAGAATGAAGTGCAAGCGCTTACGAGCAAGTAATTTCTGCTTTGCTGCTGTTGTGAGTGACTTGCCTTTCTCTTATACCCGATAAAGGGCGGACTCATCTCACCTACAGAGAGAATATGAAACTCCTTTCAATGTATTCTCAACTGTATCTTGGCCTGACGTGATTCACTCGATTGATTGGTTCTTTTCTCCGCAGATTCTCGAATGTATCTTGTGCACGTGTCAGCAGCCCATTCCCCCTTTAGCTGGCGAGGCAACTGTTTTGCTTCGATATACAGCGAGTGCTTTTTGTGCGTTTAACATGTTCAACTATCTTTCACCTAGAGAGTCCCTCCCATCCCCCGAACCCCACTATTCATTTTATTCCGATCGAAACTAGTCATCGCATTTCCGCCATTCTTCTCAGCGCACGTAGACATCATCAGCAGCCGCGTCGCGCGTGCTATAGTCGCCACCAACAGCATCTTTTCCGCCCGGGCATTGACAGCCGCCGACGAAACGAGCAATGAAGTCCAGTGCGGTTTCCCTAGTGATTGTCGCCGAGCGTGTTCCTTCTCCCCGCTGCGTTCCGCGTTCCGCGCGACTCTGGCTCATGGCCCTCCGCGTCCACCCCGCCTTGCCCCCGGGAACGCGCCCCTTGGCGAGTGTTACAGTAACGAGCGAACGTAATAGGTGGGTCGTCGCCGCTCGGCGTTTTCGAAAGCAATGCGCGCTTTGTCGCAAGCTGGCACGGTCGTCTACACACGCGGTGTAGGCCGCATACGCTGCTGCGATATGAACAGCATTTCAGAACAAGAGCGAATACATTCCTCGTTTCAGAATCACCTACTCTTGCCCTCCCCTCCCCATTCTCGTTCCTTTCTCTCCTTCGCCACCCCTCTCTCCGAAGTTTTTCCAGAATACCCTTGCCTCGCGCGGGCCTACTCTCCTCCGCCCCGCACCCTTCCCCCCTCTCACCCTTCTCACCCTTTCTATTTTCCCCACACCCTAACCCCCTATCTTCCAGTGTCTGCAACACGCTTCGGTCTCTTCCGCTCACCTGTGTCATGCGGTGTAGAGAGCGCCACCAGCGCCCACAGGCGCCCAGTGGCGGTCTCAAGTGTTGCAGCGTTGATCTTTCCCCACACCCTCCCCTTTCAGTGTTTGCAACACGGTCAGGCCTTTTCCGCTCGCCAGTATGCGGGGGGGTAGAGAGCGCAACGAGCGCCCACGGGCTGGCAGCACCCGCTGTAGGCGCAGGCGCAGTACGCGCAGCACAGCTCCATGATGCCCCGCTCGCACCACCGCCGCACGGGGTACCCTCCGGGTCACTTGTTGACTTCACCACCGTCGCTGATGGCCGTGAGTCAAGGCAGGGGGGATTGCGGGCATGGAGTGGGAAAGTGGGTAAGCGGGAAGTGGGGAGAGAGAGGGGGAGGTTGGGAGGGGAGGTGGGGAAGGGGGAGGGGTTTGTGAGCGAGGTTGGAGCGGGGGTGGGAGTGAATGTGCACGGGGAACGAGCGAGGAAGGTACTGTTGGGGCAGCTTACTTACTGATGCTTGTGAAAGGTACTGCAATGGTGCCACCACTCCTCCTCGCTCCACTGTGCCACGCCTTGCATGCTTCTTGCAGCCCTTCCCTACCTCCCCCCGCCCACACTCTCTATCTGTTGCTATCATATGCCAGCTGTCTCTCAGCCCATATTGCTATCCAAAACTCTTTACTCTCTCTTTCACCCCCAATCCCCCTCCCTTCTTCCCCCATCTCCCCCTTAGTGGACTCCCTCCATTTACATCCCCTCATTTCACTGCCATTCCCCCCTCTTCGTACTACTCCAACCGCTTCAATGCTTCCTCCCCAAGTGCTCTGCAGTGCCCCTTCTCTCTCCTGCCCTCCAACCAGCTCCCCTAGACAACTCCCACCTCCTTCACCACCTGCACTTTTCCAACTGCTCCACAGTTCTGCCCTCGTGCCCGTGCACTCGGCTCTTCCCTCTCGCTCACAGCTCACCTCGCAAGGTTGACTGCCACGTGTACCCGTGCCCCCCACTGTGCGTGTGCCCCCACGTGTCCCGGGAGCAGGTGAGCAAGGCGGCCAAGGGTGGAGAGGCCCCATCGCCGCCATCCAACGCTTCGATGCCCCCGTCAGGTCAGTGCCCCCGCCGTCCACCCTACGCGCTCCTGCTGCTGCCCCGCTCGCTCATTACTTCACTCAGCTAATTCTGCTGCATGCTGTTAGGACCCACCATTCCCCCTCCTCGGCACCATTTCTCCCATCCACCTGCTACCGTGAACATCGTCTCGTTTCTCCGCCACTATGCTGCTCACCATGCCCCATCCCCCTCCCCAACTCCCTCCCCATCAACCCCCTCCCCCTGTCTCTGTGTGTCCCATCGGCTCCCCTTCAGCTCTTACCACCCCTCAAACCGCATGTGCTCCAAAGATCCCTGCCACGCCTTCACCTTCCCCCTTTTTCCTCTCTCTCTCTCTTCCTCTCCCCTCCACGTCGCCATGCCGCCCCACCACGCAGGTGAGGGAGGCGCCACGTCTCTCCGCGCCTTCTAGCCGCATTCGTGCACCGTGTGCGACGGCCTACCAGCCAGACCGCGTCAAAGGTGCGTGCTTCAGAACACACACATCTCATATCAGTGCGTGCGTCACGCCTTCCCCCACGCCACCCACCTGCATCAAGGGTGACAGCATGGAGCAGACTGGGCGGGGGGGTGCATCCTACACACACAGACTACAAGCTGTGTCTCTCTGCTGCACCCCGTAATCACGCCTTGAACCGGCGCTCTCCCTACATCCACACCTCTCTGTCCCGTTCACCCCGCTCTCCCCCTAGCAACCACTTCTCTCAATGCTTTACGCTCCCCCACATGCCTGCATACTTAAGCTTCCCCTGCCCTGTGCACGCCACCACAGACGGCATCTTTGGCGCCATCATGGAGGTGAGCGCGGGTGGTAGGAGGCGAATGGTGAGGGGAGGTGTCGGGGAGTGTAGGGATGAGCACGATGTGGTGTGATGGGAGGATCCGGTGATGCATTCTTGCTGTGATGCGGGCGCATTGTGTGTTGGCATGCATGTGGGTCGTATACCAGCCTGGCGGCCTCACCATCACGCCATCCTTGCCACCATGCCTCTTCCCCCCCTGCTGGGCGTGCAGGTGCACATCGCCAACAGCGGCCCCGTCACTCCCTTCCTCCACTCGCGCAAGCAGTCAGGCACAGAGGGCAACGGGCACAGTGCGGGGAACTAGAGCAATGGGAGCGATGTGTTAGAGACTAAGGACGGAGTCTATGATGATTAGGAGCCAAAATATCTCAACATCGTTGGGCCTAGTTTCTGAACAGAAAAGTCGAGTTCACAAGAAACGCCGTCGACGGAAATTTCACGGTTAAAACTTCACCAAACTCAGATATGTTGTAGCTCTACTCTGTGGCTACAATTCCCAAGTTGAATCGTACGGAAAGGTGAAGTGTGTCTTGAGTTATCGATTTCAGCGCACTAGGGGGTATGCTGCCATAGAATCTTAACTCAATCACAAAGTTCACACAAGTTCACACAAGAGAATTGGAGTAGCACTAAACCAGGTGGAAGGGATGAGGAGGACGAGAGGGAAGGTCCCAAGGAGTCCCCAACCAAAGGAAACTCCATGCCACACAATTCCCTTCCCCATAGGCAACCCAACTTTGACCTTTGTCACTATCCCAACCTCCACAATCCACCTCAACCCAACTTGGCCACACTTGCCAACCTGGTTTGGTTTCTCCCAACCATTTGGCAGCAACTACAGTAGAAAAGACGAATTTCCCAACCCCCAAAAGTCTGTACCCCATATTGAGTCAACCCCACAACTTCCCATAGTCACCACAACCAAATATCAAAAGCATACGAACTCCAACGTTCGTAACTTTCTAGTTCGTGCTCCGATTGAAGTGATACTTGGTTCCTCGGAAAGCTCTTGAGCAGAGGAGTCACTTCAGATATCTGCTCAAGCCAAATAACATTCACACACACACTCAGAAAAACCAAACCGCACAAAACACAAATTCTTGCACACACTCACAACACGCATGCAACGCACGAACATATGATGGGAGGCAGACAGACGTGAATGCGAATGGTAGCATCACTCAACAAACTCCCCCTCTGGCTGCCAACCATCATCCCACATGCCATAGCTCAAGCATGCATCCTCAATGCACACTCATCCCAGCAAGCTTCATGCCCTTCCAATGCTCAGATTCAGCCAGGCGCTTGGTGAGAATGTCAGCCGCCTGCTGATGGGTCTTCACAATCTCCAGCCGCACCTCCTTGTCCAGGAGCCTTCTCACCCAGTGCCACTTAGGCCTGATGTGTTTGGTCAGCCCATGAAGACAAGCATTCTTCGCTAGCTTCACCGCCGACTCATTATCACAGAAAATCACAGTCGGCTCCCTCTGACCAACTCCAATCTCCTCCAACAAACGCCTCAGCCACACCACCTCCTTTGCCCCATGATGCAGGGCCATGTACTCTGTCTCACACGAGGACTGCCCCACTTCATTCTGCTTCTTACTGCGCCAGCTCACTGCACCACCTCCGAACAGGCACACATAGCCTCCAATGCTGGTGCCATCCGCTTTCACCGAGTTGAAGCTAGCGTCAGTGTAGCAGGTCAGGAGCATCTCCTCCTTGCTCAAATCAGCTGCACCCCTCTGCAGCCTCTGCCTCACAGCACTGTACTCCAAACCCACTGATGTCGTTGCACTCACATAGCGGACCAACCTCTTGGCCGCTTCCAGCTGCTCATGACTGGGGCGTGAAACCACACTGGCAAGCCTGGATGTTGCAAAGGCAATGTCAGGCCGTGTGTGGTTAGCCGCATAGTTGAGTGCCCCAACCATGGAATGAAAAAGTTTCCTGTCACTCTCACCCACCACCTCCTCATCAGCACAGGGCTCCACAGTGAACCCCGAAGGCAGTGGGGTGGCTGGCTTTCCTCCATCTTGCAGCCCATACTTCTCAGCCAGCCCCTCACAATACTTTCTCTGGTGCAACCTCAACACTCCCTTGTCAAGGTCCCTCTCCACATGCATCCCTAAATAGTACTTCACATCTCCCATCTTGGAGCACTTAAACTGCATCTCCAGCATCTCCTCCACATGCTCAATCATTGCAGACGACTCAGAGAAGAGCAGGATGTCGTCCACATACACCAGGAGCATGAGAAACTGCTCCTTCTCCTGCAGCAGGAACAAGCTGTGATCACACTCACTCTTCTTGAAACCCCCAGCCAGCAGAGTCTCCTCTAACTTGTGGTACCATGCACGAGGAGCCTGCTTCAGGCCATAGATGGCCTTCTTCAGCCTGCACACCCTGCCGCTCCCATCATCCAAACTCTCAGGCTGTAACATGTACAGCTCCTCCAGAATGATCCCATTGAGGAAGGCGGTGGTGATGTCCATCTGCTTCACCCGCCATCCACGGTTTGCTGCCATTGCCAATGACACCCGAAGTGTTGTGCCTTTCCCCACAGGAGCATAGAGCTCGTTGAAGTCCTTTCCCTTTGTCTGCTGAAACCCCTTAGCCACAAGCCTTGACTTGTAGCGGGTCAGCGCCCCATCAGGTCCGTACTTGTGCCTGAAAATCAGCTTGGAAGAAATGGCCTTCTTCCCGGGTGGCAGCTCACACAGCTCCCACGTCTCATTCTCTAGCAGAGAATCATACTCCTCCTTCACACTCTGCTTCCACTTTTCAGCATCGGGCCCGCTCAATGCCTCAGCTAGCGTCTTGGGCTCAGGGACGGCTGCCCAGTAGCAGTGTGCTATCTCATCCTCATCACACTGCTCAGCCACACTCCCAGCCCTTACCACCTTTGGCTTGCCACGGCTTGCATAGGTCAGCCTGTTAGGAGGGCGCACATCCCTCCTAGGACGGTCAGCCGTACGTCCGGCACCTTGTGGAGCACCTTGCTCCTCCTCCTGCTGCTGCTGCTGCTGCTGCTGCTGCTGCTGCTGCTGCTGCTGCTCCTCCACCTCAGGTTCTCCCCCATCCTCTGTCACCCCAGAGATCTCATTCTCAGAGACAGAAACCTCCACTTGCCTTGAAGGCCGCTGCACCTCATCGGCCTCGACAATTAGCGGTGTCGTTGGAAGCTTCTGCTGCTGCTGCTGCTTCCACTCCTTGTAGTACAAGGACTCAAGGAACTTCACATCCCTTGACACAGTCAGCTGCTGGCTGGTCAAGTCCCAAATCAGCCAGCCCTTGTGATCCTTAGCAAGCCCCAAGTGCACACCCCATCTCCCAGAAGCTTCCAGTTTTCCCCTCTTCTCCTTAGGCACATGAAACACTACCATGCACCCAAAGGCTCTCAGCATGTTCACAGCTGGTGCAATCCCATACCACTTGGTGTAGGGGACCCACTGCTTGTCCCCCACAGTCGCCAGCACCCTGTTCTTCACAACAACGACCTGCCGCAGTGCTGTCACCCAAAACGGATCCGGCAGCCCTGCACGCCCAAGGAGAGTGCGAGCACCTTCCTGCAGGGTCCGGTTGAACCGCTCAGCCACGCCATTCTGCTGAGGGTTGTAAGGCACTGTGAGCTGATGCTGGATCCCCTTCCGCTTCAGCTCCTTCTCAAAATCAGCGCCGATGAACTCTCCTCCGTTGTCAGTGCGGATCACCTTCACCTTGTGTCCGCTTTCCCTTTGTGCTCTCGGCATCCACTCCTTAAGAACAGCCGCTGCCACCTCCCCCTTAGTCTTGAGAGGGTACACCCACACCGCACGCGTGTGGTCGTCCACAATCGTCAAGAAGTAGCGGCTGCCCGAGAGAGAAAGGGCCCTCGTGGGGCCCACCACATCCATGTGCACTAGTGCAAGTGGTGCCTTGGCTGGTCCTGTGCTGCTGCTGAAGGGAAACTTCGTGAATTTGGTCTCAAGGCAGGTAGGGCAGCTCCCAATCTCCTTTGCTCCCCCCTTCACCTCCAGCCCCTTCAAGCACCCATCCTTTACCAACTTCTGCAGCATAGGAATGTTCACATGGCACAGCCTCTCATGCCACGTCTCCCAATCAGCCTCACCACTCCCAGATGAAGCCTTTGCCCATGCAGCTGTCGCATCCACACCAGCAAGCACCTCACCATGTGGCTGTTGTGGCTGCTGCACCTTCTTGACTGCATCCAGGGCCCCAGCAGTTGGTGCAGTCTCCTCTCCTCCCGCAGTTGCTTTAGCCGCTGCCGCTGCCTTTGCCGTTGCTGGTGGTTTCCCCTTCCAAGGGATGATGGGCAGCTGCCACAAGTCCTTGATGCAGCTGCTCTTCTCCTCCAAGTTCCACAGCAGCAACTTCCCAAGCTTTGCACGGCAGCTGGTTGGGCCGAAGGTAACTTCAGCCTTGCTCTTCTGCAGCCGGCGCACAGAAAGAAGGTTAGCGGACAAACCTTCAACCAACAGCACATTCCCAAGCCCCACAAGCTCTCCATTGGCTCCCATCACCTTGGCATTCCCAACACCAATCACAGGGAGCAAAGCACCTGAAGCGGCAGCCACAAACTTGATCTTCCCAGGAGGTTTTACCTCATCAAGCAAATCTGCCCGTGGGGTCATATGACTCGTGCAACCTGAATCGATCACCCAGTGAGTGAGGGGGTGCATCACAACCTTCCCAACTGAACCCACATCACCCCCACTCCCTTGCACATCCTCAACCATGAGGAACATCCCAGGGTCGGCTTTACCTTGTGCACCATCACCTTGTGCACCTGAACCTTGCACAGCGCCACCGCGTGCACGTTCACCACTTGGCGGCTTCATGCCTGGAGGGGCCCATCCCTCAGGCCGGCTGAAACACTTGAACCACGGGTGTCCAGCCTTCTTGCAGTACCAGCACGCACCCTCCATTCGGGTGCTCCCCCTGCCACCAGAGCTCCCATGCCCCTCATTGTAGTCACCTCGGCCTCTCCCTCTGCCAAAGCCTCTCCCACGGCCTCGGCCTCTCCCTCCCCCTCTTCCTCTGCTGCCTCCTGCAGCTCCATACCCCTCAGCAGTTTTGTTGGCAGCACCACCTCCCGTGTGGCGTCTGCGGAAGTCCTCCTGCAGAATCTGCTGCCGTAGCCACTCAGGCGTCCATTTGTCCTGCTGAACGTTGAGGGTGGGGATGAGGTTGTCCCACGAGTTGTCGAGCACCGAGATGATCTTGGTGCACTGTTGCATCTGCGACACTTCGCTGCCCGCCGCTGCCATCCTCGCATAGGTGTCCTTGATCTTGTCAAGGACC